TTCTTAACTAAACCCTAAACCTAAAACCCTAAACCCTAAAACCCTAAACCCTAATCCCTAAACCCTAAACCCTAAACCCTCAAACCCTCAAACCCTCAAACCCTCAAACCCTAAACCCTAAACCCTGCTGCTGTCCAGCGGTTTGGATTTGGGGTTTGGGGGAGCAAGGGCCACAAGGTATGTCGGGCCCCGGAGTGTCAGCCTGAGTTCCAGCTTGCAGAGACAGGACAAACCCTAAACCAAAGACCCGAAACCCTAAACCAGAAACCTAAAACCCTAAACCCCAAATCCTAGACCTAAAACCCTAAACCCCAACCTAAAGTCCTAAACCCTAAGCCCCACACCCTAAAATCCCTAAAGCCTAAACCGCTAAAGTTCGGGGAGGGGAAACCCCAAAGCTGCAAACGTTGGAGAACTGGCGGAGTCAGGGTTTAGGGTTTAGGATTGATATTTGGGGTTTAGGGTTTAGAGTTTATGATTGATAATGTTGGGTTTCGGGTTTAGGATTTTAGGGTTTATAATTTAGGGTTTGGGGTTCAGGATTTTATGGTTTATAATTTAGGGTTTAGGGTTTAGGATTTTAGGCTTTATAATTTAGGGTTTAGGGTTTAGGGTTTTAGGGTTTATAATTTAGGGTTTGGGGTTTAGGATTTTAGGGTTTATAATTTAGGGTTTGGGGTTTAGGGTTTTAGGGTTTATAATTTGGGGTTTGGGATTTGGGGTTTAGGGTGTATGATTTAGGTTTTGGGGTTTAGGATTTTAGGGTTTATAATTTAGGGTTTAGGGTTCAGGGTTTTTAGTTTAGGGTTTAGGGGTTTAGAGTTTTAGGGCTTCGGGTTTAGGGTTTAGGGCCAAGATCTGTGGAAGAGCCTGGGCAGCCTCGGGTAATATAGCAGCCTGAATAATTACCAATAATCACCCTAAGGGTTCCTTTTTATAGCTATACTATAAAGGCGCTCGGAACCCTCTTCCAATTATTAAAGCCCCTACAGTACACGCTTAGGGTCTAGGGTATCAGTGGCCTCCATCCCTACAAGCTGGCATTGAATCCCGCAGTTTATGATGATCTCAAGTTTCGCTTAGGGGCATGAACAAAGTGGTGATGGCATTCCTTGGGCTTACCCACTCTTTTGGTACTCTGACATTTCTTACGGTCCGAATATCTAACGCCCCTTTTCGTCGTACCCCCCCCCNNCCCCCCCCCCCCCCCCCCCAACCAATTATGTCCCTGATTCTTAAGGACGGCACTGGGTCCGGCCTGCAAGGCCTACAGCAAAGCCAGGAGAGCTCACTGGCCGACTACTGTAAGACAGAGGTCGGAATAGTTACCAGTATTAGTCCTAAGGGTCCTTTTTATATTCGCACGATGTACCCCAAAGCCCTATTCTGATTGTCACGGCCCCTGTATTCGACCATCCACTGCTGCTTTGGCCGAGATCTACCGCTACAGCCCCTGCTCCTGCAACTGCTGCTGCAAGTGCTGCTGCAAGTGCTGCTACTACTTTGACTACGACGGACGACGCCTATATTACTATTACCACTGAGACTGCTACTGCTGCTGCTGTTGCTGCTACAGCCGCTACTACTTCTTCTGCATTGAGGTTTAACAAACTGCAAGCTCGACAAATATATCTTGCTGTGCAGAATCGAAGCCTAAAGTTAGGGTTCTGTGTTGAAGCTATGCTATTTTATGCCCCCAAACCCTGTCTAACTATTGAGGATTCAGAGTAGTAGCCATCAAATTTGTTGGGACCGCAGCTTCGCTAATTGCGGTTTTATGGAGATTGAAGTTTTAAGTAATCGTATCCCCCTTAGCGTCCTCGCTCTAGCTCTTAAGAGCTCTATACTAGCAGGACGAAGCTGCTTGTGGGCGACCCGATGACGAACCAGATGCTCGGCTAACCTCAAGCTCGCGTCCTTGCCAGAGGAGAGCCCAAACCTTTCCTCATGTAAATTCGGTTCACCTAAAAGAACTACAATGGGAGACTATAGGCAGATCCGATGGAGCTCTTGTACGCCTTACAAAGGATCTGTGTTGAAGTCCAGGAATCGGAGATACGACTGACTCTGAGCTCTGCTTCTTTCTAGGTGGTTCAGGGCTTAGTGTTCAGGGTTAAGTGTTTTAGGATTTAGGGTTTGAGGCAGCTGCAATATTTCTACAGAACTAACCGAAGATGCCCCGGCAATGCCACAAGCAAGATAACCCTAAACCCTAAACCCTAAACCCTAAACCCCAAACCCTAAACCCTAAAACCCTAAACCCTAAACCCTAAACCCTAAACCGAAGGATGGACCAAACAAACTTTGCACTCAGGAAAGCCGTGTTACAGGAGTGCCTGAAGGCGCAGGCGAAGAATCCTGTCGTCTGGGGAGGATTTTAGGGTTTAGGGTTTAGGATTGTAGGGTTTAGGGTTTTAGGGTTTAGGATTTTTTTGGTTTAGGGTTTAGGGTTAAGGGTTAAGGGTTTAGGGTTTAGGGTTAAGGGTTTAGGGTTTAGGGGTTAGGGTTTAGGGGACTTTGCTTCGAGCTTGTAGTTTTGTTCATCACGGCTTGAAGAAGCCGTAAGACCTGGGCTGTTGTGGAATCATACCGCAGTATGGGCACAGGACGGGATTTGTCGGGAAAGGTTTGGTATTGCTTTCAGTCAATATTTGTTGATTATTGCGAACAGCCTCGTTCAAGCTGATTGGCTGAACATCATTTTCAGGTGGCCTTTAGCTGCAAGATGTGCACGCCTGTTGTCCTATCCAAGAATTATGTGCCAAAGACAAGGCTCGAAACCCAAAAACGCTACACTGCCCTACACTGTCACGCGTAAACCCTAAACCCAAAGCCCTGCAGGGCATGACGTTTGCCATGATTGGCATTGGGGAGAAGGCCGGCGTGCAGCGAAGGGGCATGCGCGGCGGGGATTCTGCTGCGAGTTTGACGGTTTAGGGTTTAGGGTTTAGGGTTTAGGTGGTGTCTAAGTGTGTTGTTGGGGACATGAAGGTCAGTTAGTGCTGCTTGGAAACCTGCCTCGATTTTGACAATTTTGGCACAGATACGGAAATGCTCACCATGTCATGTTAGTCAGTGGCGATGAGAACAGCACCCGTCGTCGTCAAGATCATCATCAGGTCATGCTGCATACTGAGTCATACATACTGTTGGAGTTTCGGAAATTTGGCAGCCCAAATATAGAACCCGCAAATACACAGATCCTCAATATAAGGACCAACCCAACAACTTACCCAGTTTACAGAAGCTCTCGTATTGGCATTGGCATTCTCGTTGTGCACGTAGTGTCTTTTGCTTTCCGAGTCTCCGTCGATGCTGTCCCAAGGGTAGCGATAGTCCACCGGTCGTCGTCGTTTGCGCAATCGCAGTGGCAGTGGCGCAGCAGCAGCAGGAGGAGGAGTAGTAGAAAACCCTAAACCCTAAACCCTAAACCCTAAACCTTAAACCGTTTCGTAGCAGTAGGTCTAGCAGTACAAATAACTCTCAGGATCCTTGCACCGTACTCGGAGGTTCATGGGTAGTTATAAGTGGAGTTAGAGACGTAGGGTAACTATACTTCTAACCCGTATACGGGGTTTCAGAACCCCACTTATAACTACCCACATCCAAGTAGACTCATCACTAAACTGCAGACAGGGCCAGGGATGCACCGACACATGCGCTCTGCCAGATTCTCAGCCGGTCGCATGTTGGTTTTGTACTGTAGCCCAGCGGAATTGGTGAAGAGCATGTGTCTCATGATGTATTATGTATTAGTGGGGTGTTCAGCTTTACTACACCGCCGTCAAACAACCGGAGATTTTATGTTTATGTGACCCGGGGTCCACAAAAGGCCTCTCTTCAGTCCAGCTGCAACCGGAGATTCTATGTTCATGTGATCCGGCGTCCACAAGAGGCCTGTCTTCAGTCCAGGTGCGATCTTGCTAGCATTCTTGCACTCCAGCCGTGTGATTGTGTTGTTTGTGTTTAGGGTTCTGGTGCTCAAGTGCGAAATTTTCGATTTTTTATGAGGATAAGGCTCGCTCTATCACATCGCCAACAGCTAATTGAACTTAACATTTGCAGTGTGCCGCTTGCTGCATTCCTCAGTTTGGTTCGGAATAGCTTCCCCGAGTCGTCTCTACATGGATTCAGATGTGCCAGGAAGTGAAGCTGTGCCAGACGAGAGGCCAGCGATTCCAAACACAGAGCCGTGTGCTTCGGTTGAAGATGAACCTTCGCTCAAAGAACCCATCGACCAACAAGGGCTCGAGGATGATGAAATTCAGACACAAATTGATCTCCTCAAGGACTTCCTCGAGCGGCTTGAGGTCACCAGGCCGGAGGTGGTAAGAGTGACCCAGGCACGACATGCACTTTGGCGGTTTGGACGTGCTCTGCGTGAAGGGCACAACGGACCAGACCGTTACCATCAAGGTGAAGTGAGGCGACATATTGCCCAGTTCTGGTCGCACTCCTGGCGTGGCAATAATACTGTGTCCAAGATTATGTTGCTTCTTGTGGTGTACAATGGCCTGCCGGCCGTTCTGGTTGGCTCGGCGACGTTTGTTTCCGTGCGGATCGGCATGCAGCCGGACTTTGAGCAGCGCCCTATTATGCCGTACACTTTAGCTTGGAGTATGCTGGCGGGCATTGTTCTCTCAAGCCTCACTTTTCTGACATGGCCATCTCGCAGACGAGTTTTTCTGGATAGAATATGCATCCACCAGAGAGACGAGAGATTGAAGGCCGAAGGCATGCTCAACTTAGCAGCACTGTTGAAGTATTCGCAGAGCATGCTGGTGTGTTGGGATCCTAGCTACATGCAGCGCATGTGGTGTACCGTAGAGTTACTTGGTCAATCTTACACATCCTTTCTACTTTTTCTGAACTTGGGTTACCTAGTTCTAGTGTCTTACATGCGAGTCCCATAAAGGAATATGTTTCATTATTTCCCCAATCGGACCCAGGTTAGCCGCATACCTGAAATGTCATCCAGACGGTCCACTGATCATAAGACCCGTCGGCTGGGGGCCATGCACGATTGCTGGGTTCCTGACTGTGGCCATACTGCTGGCGGTTGCAGAAACTTAGGAGATGAGATTGTAACTTTTAACCACTTTAACCTTTTGGGGGGGTTATCTCATCCTACCATACTCTAACAGGACCACTTGGTTGGGCTAGGATACTCAGTGCCTAAGGATATTCTGCTCGAGCACTTTGACTCTCAAGCTGTAGAGGAGGTGTCTGCATTCGTCTTCGCTGGCTCTGTGATGGTTTTCATGTACTTCACGACCTCTGCAGCTCGAGCCCACTTTCGGGCGGCAAGTACTGTTCAGGATCAGCTGCGGACTTTCTCCTTCCACAATGACACACACTGCTATTGTTGCAGCGTGAATCACGTGAACCGCAAGACTGGACAAAGGATGTTTTGCGACCGCCAGGCCATTAGTGGATGCCTTGAACACTGGTTTGGCTCCGACACGGCTTTTGATGCTGTTGTCCAGCAAGACGTTTCTGCAGCGTTCCAGCGCGGTGTGATGAGCTGTTTGTTGCCATATGCTTGGCTCACAGGAGCTACGATTCCGACCAGGCATGGCGTTCATATTGGACTCCAGTCCTTGTGGATCAACCGAAACTCATGGTTGGCTTTTTGCAACACTCTCTACTTACTTACCACGTGGCTGGGAACCATCCCTGTCCTCGTCGCACTGTGGCTGCGGATCCCGCGTCGTTTTCAGCAGCGCCGATCTACAAGATGCCGGGAGGTGATGCTAAACATGGCCTGCTCTGTTTTGATGGCCATCATGTTTTTGGTCGTTCGCTTTGCTGAGGATGCCATTGTGTTTTCTGTACCAACCTATGGAATCGTCACGTGCTCAAGCATTTCCCTACTTGGCGCCGCCATCTGCTTGGGTGAGTGGAGAAGACTATTTTGTCACAAGTCTCCTTCTTAGAACCTCCTACGCTAACGACGACCGACTCCACATGCATCCTTCCACAAACGTGGGCAGTTCGATGCATTCTTCAAGTTCAGTGTTTAAGTTGTACAATTTTCTGTCATGCGCTTGCCTGCCAGCTTGTTGACCGCTTGCTCTCCCAAGGAGAGGAATTCCAAGCTGGCCTTGTTCTCGTGACCACGGGCATCCAAGAAAAGCGAGATCAACCAGGGCTTGGGGCTGAGGGGCCCTGGTTTAGGGACCATCAACTTTGGGGCTTAGGGCTTGGAGTTAGGGCTTAGGGTTTAGTGTTTCGGGATTTGGGTTTAGGGTTTAGGGGTTTAGGGGTTTAGGGATTTGGGTTTAGGGATTAGGGTTTAGGGTTTAGGGTTTAGGGTCTCGGGCTCGTGGTTTTGAGTTTTGCCTTGTTTGCGACAAAGCTTCACAAGGCAACTCTGCCCCACGAAAGCGTTTCCATGATGTCAGCGGGCCAGCGCACCGATGCATGAGTGAAGGAATGAATGTGCGTGTGTGTGTGTGTGCGCATCTTTGTATTGTATGTAGGTACTTGTACGTACATATGTAGAGGTAGGCAGGAGGTAATTACGTACGTACGTCGGTCTGTCTGTCTGTTTGTCGTCTGTGTGCTGCTTGCCCGTCCGGCTGGCTGGCTGGCTGTCTGTCCGTTTGTCCTTCTGTCTGTCTCAGTTTGTGTATGCACGTGTGTAGGCATGGAGCAGTACATGTGCAATTCTGTAGCCATGTGTTTTGGACATCTGTTTTCACCGTAACCAGAGTATAGCATGGCGGATAGCTAGCTGATTCCGCAAGTAGGTGGTTTAGGCTGCAAGCACTCGGCGGGCCTTTTCCGACAAGGAACCAGATTTACGACTAGGATGTTCGAGAGCGGACATGAGGTAGCAAGGCAAAGAAACAAATGGCAGTGTGCAAAGTGTTCAAGAACGCTTATTCTCAGTTCTTAAGATGTGCAAGCCCTCCTGAAGTGGGTAGCGAGTTGTCCTTTCAGAAAGGCAGGAGAGATGTGTTGGAACCCCAACAAGCCCTCCTGAACGTCAAAACCTTGACCTTGGCTTCTGAATTCAAGCCTTCCCTTCAACCCCTTACGTAAAGTGTCCTGGGAGCCAAGAAGACAGTATATGATTACAGTATAGTGTATAGCATCGTATAGCAGACTATAGTGTATATCATGGTACATTATATAGCTGGAAGTCAATTAATTCACTTGGGCCGAAGTTTCTTATATCTCTTCCGGCCATGGCTTCGCGATCCGTTCCAAGTGCTTTTGGACCTTGCACCTGCTTAGGGTTAAGGGTTCAGGGTTTAACATGACTACATATATATATATATATATTTATTTATTTATTTATTTAATTAATTATTTATTCATTTAATTATATATAAACACACATACACCTGTACATATATATATATATATACATATACATATATATATATATATATACATACGTATATATATATATATATGCCCATGAGACCTCAGTTCGTGTTCAGGGCATAGCGCGCCTCCATGCAAGCAAAATCCGGATGAACTACAGACGAGAAAAGCGGCTTGAAAGTTGGGATCAGTATCCCCACCGTCATGATGGGCATCACCATCACCATCCCCGAAAACTCCATCACCGCAATCGCACTTACACAGCCAGTCATGAACACTCTCCATAGAGCCGCCTCTGCACGTCTCTCACACTCACACCGTGTCGTAACGACGAAAACATGCACCCGAGTTCGACGAAGAAGAAGACACATACTTCTAGTAGTCACATCAGTCGTAACCAAAATACGAGGATTAATAGCGATAGCATTATGATGATTGTGGCTCGCTCTCCAGTTTCTGTGTTTTCGACGTTTTGGTTATCGCCATCGTAGTTGCTTTCCCAAGATGGCTACTAGTCGCAGGACTCTTCGACAGAAGCACTGGCGACATCGAGTCCATTCAGGACATTCGGAGATTTAGCCTAGTCTGAGCCCGATTTGTTGACATGACGGCTGCTTTTCATGCATGTAGTCGAGCAAGAGCTACAAAAGCCCCTGACAAGAAAGCTAGTTTAGAGAAGCTCACACAGGTTGCCCCAGAAGTGATAGTGCAAGACCGCATGAATTGGCCGTGTTCTTTTTCGGGACTGGGTTTCAAGCGATGAGCTTCTCGGACCCGCAGCAGCCGACATACAAAGGGTTTTCGGTTTCTGCCCACTGTCATTTTCGGTACGAGTGTAAGCCTGTGAGAAAGCACCTCAGTGGCTGCCCGCTGTGACAGCATCGAAAGTCAGATCAAGCAGAAAGGTGACGCACACCATGTTGCTTTCATTCGGTTTAACCCCTATAAACCCCAAACCCCAAACCCCAAACCCCAAACCCTAAACCCTAAACCCTAAACCCTAATTCCTAACCTCAAGGGCTGTGTGATCCAAGCATCTTTTCCCCAAGGCTGCTCCGAGCTTGGTCTGCCCTAAAGCCCAGGCCCGATAACAGTAACGTCGAGGCCTTAAAAATTAGAACAGGACTTTGGGGGGTTCCTTATTAGTATAATTATAGTATAATATACCCCAAACCCTATTCTAATCATTAAGCCCCGAACAGTTCCGCCCTTCGCTACCGCTGCTGTGACCGCAATCTCGCGTTCCCCTGGGAGAACTAAGCACCCCGCTCCCGATTCTCGCAGGGCAGCGGATCTGCAGTTTGTATCGGTTCCGCCTATTGCTGCTCCGGTTGTTGCGAATGACGGCCCTGTGTTAGGCGTGACCATCTATGCTCCGCATTTTGGGTCCGTTTCCTTCGGTGTCGTGTCTCATGCACCGATCAACCTTGAGGAGTTGGTTGCCCAGGTCAAAAAAGGTCGAACATGCTTCCGGCCCCTAGCTTGGATTTCATAGTGCCCATTTCTGAGCAGAGGTTTCCATGCACAATTGAGCTGCTTGCATTCCCGTCCTTTTTGCACCAAGTGCAGCCTGCCCACTATGCAGTCATGCTCGATCTAACCCATGTAGGGGGACATTATCATGCTGCTTCCTTCCCTGAAGGACTTACGCTTCATGGACTCCTCGCCCATTTGGAGACACTGATGTGGTATCGCCCTGAGGATGTCGATGTGTGGGTCGGTGCTTCTCAGTTCCCTGCTTCACAGGGCGACCTCTCGTTTGCCTCAGGATCCACTTTCACTGTCCTGTGCAAAGGCGTGAGTCCTGCACGGGCCTACGATTTTCGACACGTCCTTTCCTCACCCCAGGAATGGGGTCCTTTTGAGCATGCACCTCGGCCTACGAGTGCTTTGCATCATGCTGTCTTCTGTGAGAAACGCTGGTCTCGGGTCCCTTTCCCTACACTTGTGACCTGTTGTTTAGAAGATTCAGTTCGCGATGCCCTAAATTTGCCTCCGGAGACAGGCTTACTCCAAACTAGGCCGCGTCTCAAACTTGATGTACATGGAGATACTTGCCAAACCGTGTTTGCTGCGGCCTCTACTGTTACAGCCTGGCTCATTGATTTGAGGCCACTAGGCTTCGCGATGCGGATACTCCATAAAATTGGCCAGCCCGAAGTTGAGGACATCCTGTCTCTCATTACTTTCGCACGACCCGGTGACTCCTTTCCTAGTTGCCCCTGTCAGATCTCTGATATTGCGAGGATTGTATGCGAGCAGGAGGTATGTGAGGTCAGCTCCGACGACAGCCTCCCCATCGTCAGCGTACGCTTCGTATATTCGCCATCCGGCCACGAAGATGCGGCTTCCCAGCTGGGAGCTCGTGACCAAGCAATTGCAGGCCTTGCGGACCCACCACAGGAGCCCTCCATAAGCCTATCTTCAGGTGCCTTCTCCCTTTCACAGGTTGCACAACACCAGGTTGCACCTGATGAGAGCGAGCATCCTCCTGTTCCATTACACAGGCCAGAGGGCGTTCCCCCTTCGACTGAGGAGGCTTCACATGTTGACATTAGCCAGGTGCCGACCACTGTGCCAGTTGCCGAATTTCGCAGCCTTTCTCAGGGCACTGACGCAATACAGCAGGCGGTACAGGCACACGTTGATCGAGCAGACGAGGAACACCTGCCAGCACCGTTCCAACGTCTTGATGGTTTTGCCCTCCCCGCAGACCCGCACGCCGCTACACACGCAGATGAGTCTGAGGAAAGCTCATATGACCACCATTGGCGGCCTACTTTTGTCGTCCTAGTTCCAGACATGGCACCAGAGACAGTGCAGGTTGCCTTGGATGCACCATGCAGTGTGGACACTGCCATTCAGGCCTTGGTTGATGCGTCCGACGCCAGTCGCTACCGCTTTTTCCCCCGATTTCTTGAAGTGGAACCGCAACCTTGTCAATATTGGGGTACTGTTCTAGCACTGCCGCCATGGTCAGAAGCCGAGCCCATCTCGGTATTAGACCTCTTGGAAATCGACGGTCGCTTGTACGCTACGTACTTGCCAAACCCCTTTACCAGGGGACAAGCATTGCATGCAGCTCGTTTACCTGATGGGGTAGACTATGCTGTCTTTGCATACGGCCACTTTGTACCCATGGCACCTGGTGACAGGATTGACGTGCAGGAAGGGGGAAAAATTTCCTTCCGACCAGCGAATGCAGCACATCTTGTTCAGGGCCCGTCCTTGCGGACCATGCTGGCAAGTCCATACAGCTGGGACCCCGAGCCTGTGATACCACTCTTGCCCCCAAATAACAGGGTGTGTGTTGTCCATGAGTCTGGGTATGATCTTGGGGTCGCCGAGCCTGACTATACCGAACATGATTTGCTTCCGCTCGCCCGGGCCATTAGTCGGTTGCCGCGAGGTGAGGTCTTGTTTGCTGTGGGAAGGCCCGAGACTCAAGATGTCTCATGCCACGGGGTACCTTGTGAGGCCATCTGTGCCATCGCCCCTGATGACTTTGGATTACAACCATGTGTCGTCTTGGTGGATCAGAGGCCACTACTAGAAGGGTGGTCGCTTTGGTCGTCCCACGACGGAACCATCTCACATGTCG